CCTTTTAAACAGTTTTCTCCCTCATCTGTTTCAATGCAGTATACATTATTGAACCCATCTTTCTCAGTCTTTCCCCAATCCCAAGGTCAGTCCTGTTTTACAACAGTGGCACCATGCAGTACTTGTCCTTTTGTGACTGAGATACTTCACTCAGCATAATGTCCTCCTGAGTCACCCATCTTGAATAATATTGCATGAGTTTCTTGTTTTTCAGTGCAGCGTAGTATTCCATTGTGTGAATATACCACAGCTTCTTTATCCATTCATTTGCTGATGGGCACTTAGGTTGTTTCCAACTCCTTGCTATTGTAAACAAAACCGTGATAAGCATAGGTGTGCATATACCTGCTTGGATGTCAGTTATGGTCTCTTCGGGGTATATTCCCAGTAGTGAAATTGCTGGGTCAAATGGTATCTCTGTTTGCAACTTTTTGAGAAAGCACCATACCTCCTTCCACAGTGGTTGCACCAGGCAATGCATCTTTTGATTGCCAAGAGTGTTAATTATGGAGCCAAGCAAGCTGCATATTATGCAGTCCTATGAATTTTATCTGTTATGTGTCACTGAGTCAGAACCAACCCATAGCTGATCCTCCAGTGAGTTTTCAGGGGCAGTTAATCACACAAGATGACACTGAGCATCCTTCTCCAGCAGAAAAGCTGGTGGATTTGAATCATATGCCTGTACTGCAGTGCAGCTTCTTATGAAAAGGCCACTAGAGCTCCCTATTATATTGATGACATATTATTGAGTCCTATGAGTAGTAAATAAAAGTACTTTTGGTATTCTGGGGAAGTTGAAACCCTATTCCCAGTTTTCTCTATCAGTCATAATCTAATCAGAAGACAAAAAAAAAAAAAAAAGAAAGAAAAACACCAGTTATTCAAACCGAAAGATTTTAATATAAACCAGTAAGTATAAAATTGTCAACCAGTGGGCCGACTTAAAAAAAAAAAATGCATAGGAGATTGAAAATATCATGGCATGGAGCGGGTCAATTTCAGTCTTCAAAATTACCTCCTTGCTTTTAAAAGATGTCTTTTGCAACAGATTTGCCCAATGTAACACATCAATTATTTACTGACTGCTGCTTCCGTGAGCAGAAGTACTGAAGCTTCCATGGGACTCTAGTGGAATAAGGCTGTGCTTCTCTGGTGGTTCAAATCCACCAGCAACTCAGTGGAACAAAGATGGCCAATCTCCTTCCAAGCAATTTACAGCCTCAGAACCTGCATGGAGGATCACTTGAGTCAGTTCTAACTTTACGCAATGAGGTGTTTGAGAGTCTACAGGCACTGATAATGGTTCCAAATGAAATTAAATTACTAAACATTTCATTTTAACTTCACTTATCATGATGTTGCTTATTCATCCAGTTGTGAGAATTTTTATTTTCTTTATGCTGACTTGATGGCATTTAACAACACAGAGAGAGACCAGTTGGCCTAGTGGACCAAAAGTGATGCTACCAAGCCAAAGGTGGTGACTCTAATCAGCAGTCCTAAGCCTGTTTTTCATTGTTTTTGTTCAAACAGTCTTCTAGGTCGTATAGCCCTGGTGTGTCCACTTGCTGTACAGAGGTAACTTGTGGTCGCTGTGAAGCTGAACACTGTGACACTGATGTATCAAATGTGCTAACAGTTACCCAGGGTGACAGTGTTTGGTGGTGCTCCCCGGTTGAAACAAGCTTGGAAGCAGAAGTTGCATTCAATTCCATAAACAGCTTGCCTCTGGAAACCCTATGAACCTGGAGAAAGGATGAAAGTCACACACGCAAGTGTTGGACTTTCATTCATAGGGTTGCTATGAGTCGCCTATGACTCCACAGCACTTAACAACAACATGTTGACTTGAAGTACTTACTGATTAAAGTGACTGACCACTATAGCCTTAATTATTGACTACATCTTAAAATTTAAAAATCCTCATTGAATCCTTCCTAACATTATCAATTTTAATCATAGAATAATTCTGTGATATAGCTGCAAAATGCATAAGTGTAATTATTTCTTTGATCATGTGAATATCAACAGCTGGGAAAGGTGGAAGGTCAGAGAAATAGACCTTCAATAAGACTAACATAGAGACCACAACAATGAGCTCAAGCTTCTCCGAGATCATGAGGATAAGGCAGCGGACATAAGGGATCTGTTGTTCATTATTGTTGTTGTTGTTGTTGTTGTTGTTGTTAAATGCCATCCTATGAAGGAAAGACCTCAACAACTGTGTGACTTTCACTCTTTCTCTAGGTTCATAGGGTTTCTGGAGGCAAGCTATTACAGAAGTGGATGCCACTCCTGCTTCCAAGCTTGTTTTAATGTGGATCTCTACCAAACACTGTCTGCCATGGGTAACCATTAACGCATTTGACAAATCAGTGTCACTGTGTTCAGCTTCACAGCAACCACAAGTTACCTCTGTACAGCAAGTGGACACACCAGGGCTATACAACCTAGAAGAATATTTGAACAAAAACAATGTAAAACAGGCCTGAGGGCCATGGCAATAACATCAAATAGTGTGATGCTACCAAGCCAAAGGTGGGTGACTTTTAATCCATGGCCTGTTGTTTACAGGATGGCTATAAGTCATAGCCAACTTGACAACAACAAAATTATTCTGTAAAATCTTTCTACATTGAATTACAACATTATTAGAAGCCATATAGAAAACTTTCTCATAATACCTTATTACAAGGAACTCTGGTAGCCTCGGAGTAAGTAGATGCTGAAATTCCAAAGGCATAAAATTCAAGTCCACCAGCTGCTTGCTGGGAGAAGAATGGGCAATCTCCTACCTTTTACTGCCTCTGAAAAGCCGCTGAAGGGCCAGCTAGCTGAAGGGCCAGCTATGGGCCGGTTCCAACACAATGGCAAACAACAACAATTCTTTAATTAGCTCTAGTAAGATAGTGGATTAAGCTCTGGGCTATTAACCAGCAGGTCTGAGTTCAAAGTCACCAGCTGTGCTACAGAAGAATCTGTTTTTCTAAAGATTTACTGCCTCAAAAACTGTATGGAACAATTTTACTCTTACAGGGTCACAATGAATCAGAATCAACATAGTGGCAATCAATTTGGTTTGGTTACCTTTAATTATTACCTTCTTAAAAACTGTATTGAAGGGGAGCTCTGGTGGCCTAGTGGCAAGGAGCTGCAACTACAATCCCAGAGGCGCACGGTTCGAATCCACCAGATGCTCTGCCGGGGAAGGAGGGACAATTTCCTCCTGTACCAGTCAGATCTGATTTGACGGTACACTGACACAAAAATAATAAAATAAAAAATTTTTTAAAAATTTAAATAAAAAAAAAACAAAACAAAACTGTATTGATACTTAAGAGGTTTTACTAATGACAACAATACTGTAGCTAAAACATTAGAAAATCTGACAGAATTGACCACTAAAGACTGGCAGCAATGAGGAAAAAAACCCAGCACATGCCTGTCGTCTCCAGGCAAAATCACAAGATTCCATGTAACTGGGTAATGATGATAGCTCCGACTAGAGTCCAACTAACAGGACTGTTTTCCAGGCTGTAAATCCTTACAGGAGACTGCCTTATTTTCTCCCATGGAGCAGCTGGTGGATTCAAGTCTTCAACCTCTCAGTCAGGGCCCAATGCACTAAGCCAGCAAGGCTCCTGAGAATTCACTAGAAACATCAAAAACTAAATTAGCATAGAGTTTCAGCCTTGTAGATTTATAGAGATAGGTAGGAACCAGTCCTTGGAGAGGGACAGCGCAAAAGAGGTAGACCATCAACAAGATGGATTGACTCAGTGACTGGAGTGGCGGGGGTGGGTATGTCAGAGACAATAAGGTTGGCTCAGCATAGAATAGGATTCAGAGCTGCTGTTCATAGGCGTCGCTGAGTCACAAGCGACTTTGAGATCACATAAGAACAGATACGTTAAAACTAGGCTTTTTTTAAAAAATGGTTTTGAGGTTGTTTCTACTCTCACAGTGTCTAATCACAACCACCTACAGCTGACCCTCAAGGTGTTCAGAGGCTGTAAGTGGCACAGACAAGACTGCCCATGAGTTAGGTTGTCCATAGTTCTCCAAGGAGCAGCTAAGAGATTCGAACCACCTGCCTTTGGGTTAGCAGTGCAACTCCTTACCCACTGGGCTACCAAAGTTCCATTTTTACAAGCCCTCCCTTTTTTATTAAAAAAAAAAAATTCTGCTGAAACACTGCACAGAAATTTCTTCGACAGTAATTTTATTGGCAGTCGGCAGAGGTTCACACTCGCCTCTCTCAAGTGGCGCCACTGATTAAGAATATATATGTCCCATTTTATAGATAAGGAAACTAACTATACATTAGATTATTTCTTTGCACCGTGGCAAATAACTGACCATGAGGAACCCGTTCACCTCGCAGGTGCAGTTTGTCATGCAACGTCACGTGGTACAATTCCCCGTCTAAGGGAATCCCGGGGTGTCAACTCGTGCCTTAAGTGTTTATATAAGCTTCTGTAACCCGGCAAAAGTCCATACCTAGTCATTACTCTAGAAGACTGAACCAAGGACCTGTCTCCAAGAGCGGTGTTCTCAGATGACTTTTTTAATACATTCCAAGAAAGTGGAAGCACTCGAAAACCGGTGCTTCCGACGTGCGCCGGCCGCTTTCCCAGCACCTGCCCCGGGATCAAGACCCGAGGTCCCCGTCTCTCTCCACCCTCCTCCCTTCCCTGCCTCGATTTCCCCGTGTGTACTCGAGGGGTTATGCCGGTGGTCGCTTACAGCCGTTTCAATTCAATTCAACTACTGGGATGTGTCGGGCGGCCGCTACTGGGTCGTCCAGCCGAGCTCAGCCATGCTCACCGAGAAGCCCGCACTCACCCGGCTGACGCTTCAGAGCCATAAGGGACACCAGATAGTGAGCGATGTCAAAGAAGGGGAACATGGACGTGCGGGAGAAGGCCAGAGTGAGCTCATCCCAAGGAGAGTCCATGACGACGACGGACCACCGAACTCGCCAGCACAGTGAGCGCGCAGAAAAGCAGGGGAGGGTACGGCGGCCTCGAGTCCCGCGCATGCGCCTTGGCACGCAGGCGGGTGCTCGGAAGGGGCGGGGCCTCGCGTCTCCGAGCCAATGGCTCCGAGGGGGCGGGTTCCAGGTCTTACTACTGTGTCTTAACTCAGTTGTTCTGTTGAGAAATTAAGCTTTTTCTTGGAGATTGGCGCCGTGCCAGGCCCAGTGAAAATGGGCAGATCACCAGAACACAATCCTGAAGGAAAGATACGCAGAGTCAGATTTATTTCTGTAAGATGATGTTATTCACTTAACCTTTACTGAGCAACTGCCCAGTACAAGTCACACTGTGACTTAACTGGAGATATAAAAAATGTACAACCATATCCTGCCTGCAAGAAAGATGTTCTTCGGTTCAATTCCACCAGATGCTCTACTGGAGAAGGAGGACCAATCTCCTCCTGTACCAGTCAGACCCAATTTGACGGTACACACACCAAAAATAATAAAATAAAAAAATAAAAATAATAAAAAAAGATGTTCTTGTGAATTGCCATCAAGATGGCTCCAACTAATAGCGACCCCAGAAGCAAACCCCGCAGCATCCTGTGCCAGCCACATCCTCACAATCTCAACTGTGCTCAAACCTATTCTTTCAGTTCATTATTTCTGTATCAATCCACTTCCTTGAGGGTCTTACTTTATTTGGCTAACATTTTTTCCAAGAATAGTGTCTTTTTCCCAATAACTGGCCCCTCTTGATAACACACTGGAAGTACGTGAGGCGAGTCTCATCATCTTTGCTTCTGAGGAGCACACTGGCTGTACTTTTGAGACAGATTTCTTTGTCCTTTTGACAATTTATAGTATAGCCAATATTCTTCACCAACACCACAACTCAAAAGCATCAACTCTTTGGTCTTCCTTATTCATTTTTTAAATTCCACATAAACATAAAGTAATTGAAAATAGTATGGCTTGAGTGAGGCACATCTTAGTCTTTAAAGTGACATATTTGTGATAAACAAATGCATAATGCAAAGATATGCATAAGAAAAGTATACATACATAATGTATAATTCATCCAAACCAGATTATGAGAAATATAGATGATGTTTGTGGCTATTTGGAGATTATTTCAGAGAAGGGAAATAAAATAAAAATTAAACTAAAAGCTAAGTGAGAGCTAATTGCACAAAGGCGGGAAACTAGATTCACTTTCTTAGAATAGAAAGTGAAAAACAAGATTACAAAAAAGAAACAAACTATTTAAGGGAGTTCTTAAGCACTTAAGCCCCGAAATCTTTGTATTGTAACTATTGGGTGTAAGTGAAGACTTTTGAGCAGGGAAATAATTTTTTAAAAACACTCTATGTACCAGACACTGTTCTAAACACACAGGCTAACTCTTCGGTACTATCATTATCCCATTTTCTAGGTAAGGAAGATGAGACACAGTGAGGTTAAGTAACTTGTCAAAGGCCACCCAGCTAGAAAGTATTGGGACCAGGCTAAACACCAAGTAGCTTAGCTCCAGAGTTTTATCTTCAGGTATTTCCAAGCCAAAATACATTCTTTTGATTGTTATTCAAAAATTGATTGATTGATTGATTGATTGATTTTTAGGGAGGAGGGCTATTTTGCAGTTTGGGATATTTTTACTGGAGGATATGTGAGTATAGGGAGAAAGCATGAATCAAGAAGAGTGTGTAATTGGTGAAGAAAGACTTAAGAACAATAAGCAATCAAGCCCATCGCCATAGCAGTTTCTAACTCATGACAGCTTTATACAAAGAGTTGAGTAGAACTTCTCCAGATTGGTTTGTTAGGTGTAATCTTTGCCAAAGTAAATAAGGCCTATTCATTCCACCACACTACTAGCTAGGTTTGATCTGTCCACTTCTAGGTTAGTAGTCAAATCCAGAAACGTTGAGAAAAAAACTAGAAGCAGGGAAGGTCAGAAGGTCCAAACAAGAGGTAATGGAGCACGAGGGTAGTAGAAGTAGAGAACTCCCAGGTGGGGAAAGATCTGGTGGAGATCTGGTGGAAAGGGAATAGATTGATTGTTGAGCCTGTTAATGTGGACAAGGAGCCACAGTTATCAAGAAGGAAATGGGAAATAAGTGAGTAAGAGGATTATTGCTGCATTCAAGGAAATAGTCAACGAGGAGAAAGGGTGGGTTTGGGTAAGATGAACACTAGTTCATATATTTTCATCTGATATGTGAATAGATCGTGCTGACACCAGGAAATTGGGCATATATGATAGATTACTCGGTTAGTAATAGCTGCATGCAATAGTACATTGCAAAGTCCAATGTTATTCTGATTTTTGTCTCAATATTTATGCCTTAATTTTCATTCATTCAACAGCTGTTGTCCACAGTATGTGGTGCTAATAACTGAAAAGTCAAGGGTCTCTGGTAGTTTAAACTCAACAACAGTACCTTGGGAGAAAGGTGAACAGTCTCCTCTTATTAAGATTTGTGAGGGGAAGTGGAGGGAAGGCAGAGAACAGGGAGAAATGAATGGAATCCCTAAGTCTCTGTAAATTTTCATTAAAATTAATTAAAAAATATATTTCCAGCCTTGGAAAACCCAATGTTGTTATGTATCATAGCTGACTCAATGACTCTATGAACAGCACCTCTGATCCCTGCCCTTTCCCAGAAAACCCAAGGAAGGGTAGGAATTGACTCAGAAACATTCTTGAGTTTTTGGGTTTATACTATAGCCGGCATTTCACTAGATACGTTAACTTACATTCAAAAATGTGATGAGATTTCAATAAACCTCTGTACTTTTACATGCTATTTTTGAGGTTTAAAAAAAGTTATTATTTTGCTAAAATACTTTTCATAAGTGATTTTTGACAGAAATACTTCCTATATGAAAATGGTCTCTGCAATTCCAGCAAAACTAAAGAAAGAGAAAGAGCTATAATTATTTATGCTTTATATCTGAGTCAACTTTTTTTATCTTTATCTTTTTTTTTTTTTTACCTTTGTCTTTCAAATCACTATATTGTATAAAGTTAGGGGCAAAACTTGATGTGATAAATTAATCCCTTTATTAGGTCTTAGGCCTTGGTTCTTTGTAAGCAACAGCTTAAAAGATTTCCTGCCTAAACCCTGAAGAGTACTTTTGTCTCGGTTTGTTACCTCAGAGAGTTTGTTACATTTCTTCAACAACAACTCATTGTTACCCAAGTCAGAACCAACTCGAAGCTGACCCTCAGCAGGTTTTTGGAGACTATAAATCCCACAAAGGGAGACTGCCCATCTTGCTTTCGTGGAGCAGCTGGTGAATTAGAACCACCGGCTTTTTGTGGGGGCAGTACAACTCCTATCACTAGGCCACCAGAGAGTCCCTATCTTGCTGCACTTGGTCACATCCCTACCTTGCTTGTGTTGGTCATATGAAGTGTTTATGGCCTACACTCCAGAAGAGGTTAATAAATTAGTGACTTCCCCACAGAAAGATGCAGGAGGAAAAGGAACAAAAGAAGCTGAGAGAGAGAGGAGGCAAGGAACCCCCTGAAAAAGCTGTAGTATAAGTCAAGGACTGTAATACTGATGATAGGGAGAGTCTGAGGAGGAGCTAAGCAGCTGAGTTGAAGGTAATGGACAGCAGAGCCAAAAGAAACTTGTCTAGTCGGAATGAGAGGAGGCCTGTGTGGTCGAAAGGAGCTAGAGAGCTATCCCTGCACTGAAGGGATTCTGCCCACAGGCTTCCTGAACTTGACTCCTAACATGCTGATCCTGATCCTGAGTTGTACTTTTATTAAGCTGCTCCTTAATAAACCACTTACACTGTAGTAAGGTCTATGAATTCTGTATGGCCATTGTAGTGAATTATCAAAAGAGAATTACCAGAAAAGAGGTAGAGGGTGCTGTGGGAGGTATAGTACATGGTCAGTATTGGTTAAAAAGTTGGAAAGTGGAAGTACGTGTGTGGTTTGAGTTTGTTTTCTTTTCCATTTGCTCTTTTTACCTTGTTGGAAGCTGCCTTAAGCTGAACGGGAGTCTCATTTTCAAAGGTTCTGCTATGATTTTACACCTAGATATGATTTCCCAAAAGATTAAATTCACATACAAAAAATTAGATTCACATACAAAAAAAAAAGTAGCAAGCAATCTTTATGCCATCACTCAAGTTGCACACCTGTATTGGAATCATTCTGGATTACAGCTACATTCTTTAACATCAAGAGATGAGCAGGGGAAAGCATCAGAAGATTTTTTTTTTTACACAGTGACTGTAACAACAAGTAGATCAGAGATTATGAAGATAATAACACAATACAGGGGCTGGGTTCAGATCTGTTGTTCACAGCGTCACTATGAGACCTAGTCAGCAGCATCTAACAACAATTCTTAATTCCAACAGAAAGGAACTCATAAACTCTGATTTTAAAAAAGGAAAAAAAATTCCATAAAATAGGAGTGGACTCATAACTGACCTTCCAGTGGGTTTTCAGAGGCTATAGAAAGCATGAGAGAATTAGTAATCTGAAATTGTTGCATTTCAAAACTGTCAAAGTAAGGTTGGTCCCATCTGTCCAGAGTCTAAAGACTTCTTTTTTAATAATTTTAATGAGCATTTACAGAGATTTTGGATTTCCATTCATTCATTGCTGCACTTCTCTCCCCGCCCAGCCCTCCCCCCCTCCCCCAGTTCACTCCTCTCTTTCAAAAGTAAAAGAAACACTCCCTCCCTGGGACACAATCCCCCCACACCCCTCCCGCCGCCCCAAGTACATTCCACTATGCAACCTTAATTGTGGACTCTTGTGATAACCATAATACCCTAGCATACATCGCTTTTAAATTATTCACTCCCTCATCTGTTTCAGTGCAGTATACACAATTTATCTAGTTAGAATTTTTTTTTAAAATTTAAGATAAATGAAATAGCAATCTCACAAAAAGACAAATTCTATCAGAATTTAAAATGTGCTCATCATAGTAAACTTCTGGCCAATGATAGAGTT